TTTAGCAACTGATAAGTTGGACATTGTGGTGGAGGGGAGTGGTGGTGATGATGATGATGATGAAGACTGAAAAGGGGCTCGCTGGAATGGGACAAGTTATTAGTAGAGCTCCTCAAGCACCGGACTTGGAACCAGTGTGATTTGGCCAAGGTTATTAATGAAAACAAGGTGGGATTGTGTTGATGAAACCTACTGAGGACAGAGGTAGGAGGCATTGTCAATGCAGAGGAGGATCAGGATATCAAAAGTCAGAGACTTGGATGATGTGGAGGACTAGAGAAAATGGCATGACATTCACAAGTATAAAATATAGGAGATGGAAGGAAAGTAACACCCTGTGGATAAAAGAGTCACTCCTGGGACCTCCAGCCTTGGACACAAGTCCCCCAAGCCTAGGGTGGAACAGCCCCCGGACCGGCAGCCAGACAAACTGTCTCCGCCCCATGGAGTCCACGATCTCAGAGCAGCTTCTGGATGCAACTTCCTCTCCCCTTGCCGTGACAAAAGCAGGGAATTTATCCAGCCATGACCACGGCACCCCTGCCCCCCACACTCTCCTTGGCAGATGGGGGTCAGGAGGAGCAGCTTTGTTCCTCAAGCAGGGGATACTCACAGCTTGGTGAGGTTAGCAGGAGCCATCTTCCCCATCCCCTTGGTGCTGTGTTTCCCGTTCAAGAGCTTCTGGGCATCAGCATTAGCCTCCAACAGCTCATTGCACTCACCCAAGGCCACCTGTGACAGGAGAGCGCAATGGAGACCAACCTCCCTTCAGAGCCAAGGATGGAAGCTGGGTGTCCTGGCTTCCAGCTCCTTCCCCTCCCGGAGCTGAGATAGGAAGCAGGAAGATCCCAGTTCCCTCCTGCTCTACTGCACTGGCCTCTTCTCCCCTCCCAGAGCTGGGATAGCACCTGGGAGTCCCAAGCTGTGACACAGTCTCCCCCAGAGCTAGGATTGCTCCCTGCAATACAGCTGGCTCTGAAGCAGAGGAGAGCTTCACTGCCCAGGCACAGACCCTGTGAACCACTCCCTGTCTTTGAGGCTGAAACATCAGCTCATTGTTGCCCAGTTCTCACCTCTGACAGCAGCAGGAGCCCCACATCCTTCTGACGGGAAGCAAAGCAGTAGTTGGCACTCTTGGAGGACATGTCAGCAAAGTAGATGCCTCTCCCGAACTGAGGGAAGATGAGACAGAGAGAGACCAGGGCTGGGTGCAGTGAGAAACGCAGGGCAGTGGGGATACTGATACTGGGGGCTCTAGAAGAACATATGGATGGGGGGAAACCAGAACTGGAGCAGGGTCCAAGGCAGGGACACCAGGACTGAGGGCTCCACAGATCAAAAAAGGAAAGGGGAAGGAAGGACTAGAGAATGAGACACTGGAGGGTGAGAGGCTGAGGGTCAATGGGGCTCAGGGGATCTGACCCCAGAGGCAGGAGGCAGGGTGGGCTGGTCGGAGCAGGTGGGGTATCACTCACCATGTAGCCAGTCATAGGAGCCTCTGGGGGTGCGATTCGCAGCCCCTGGCTCAGGATGCCCATCCAGTTGCCCAGCCGGGAGCCATGCCACAGCAACACCCTGCCAGGGGGTAGAAAGCAATAGAAGGGGTGAGCCCTATTTTACCTCCCCGCCCAACAGGCTGGGATACCAGGGACCCCTCCCCTGCACCCAGCAGCACCCCCTGACCTGTTGGGAAGGTCAGTGCGGAAAGTCGTCTCCTCAGACGGGCGGCGCAGGGCAAAGGCCTCCAGCAGCTCCATGGAGTAGTCGCGGTGGGTGGGTGCATGGGTGGTCAGCAGGTACTGCTCCAGCACCTGGTAAAAGGCACAAAAGGGGATGGGCAGTGAGCCACAGAGCCCAAGCTGCTCACCCCTGACCCAGGGACCCGCAGCCCAGGTGCCCTCTCCCCAGCCTGACCTCCCCACCTGGAAATCATGGGTGTCCCTGTCCAGGGCACACAACTCGCAGCCCAGTTGGTGGTAGTGCTGGTCCAGTGGGTGCTCATGGTCCTGCCTCTCTGAGCACACTAGTTTGATAGCAATTTCAATCTCGCCCAGGGCCTGGGGTGGGGGAAGAGACAAGATTAGAAGGCATCTCTCTCTCATGTGCACACAAACACACACACACATACGCGTGCGCGCACCTGTCAGCTCCCCCAACAGCCTCCTTACCTCCAGCAGCTGCATCTTTTCCTGCAGCTCCTGCTTCGTCCGGATCATTGGGGGCGTTCGGAGCCTGCAGGGGCAGGACACCAAGAGTGAGCAAGCTGGGGAAGGGGGTGCATCACATACACAGCTTATCACTTCCTGCCCTGGACAAAGCCACGGGGGTAGAAAATAGAGCAAGGAGGAAAACACAGCATAGATCCAGGGTGGGGGGGAGGAAGGCCTTGAAACTCATTTGTGGGGACCCCGGGGCAAGAGCCATAACACTCACCAAGAGAGCAAGAAAGAAAAGAGGAGGGGGCCTTGAACCTGGCAAGGAGAAAGGAGACCCCAGTGCTGCCAGGATACTCCCCCCACCCCACAGGGCTGGCAGAGAGGCCAGGGGATAGAGCCAGTCTGTGGGGTGGGGGTCTGTGCGGGGGGCCTGACCCAAAGTCGTGCGGGATTCGGGTGTAGAATTCGTTGCAGGCGTCCAGCAGGGCCCGGCCAGCGCTTCCCTCTTGCAGACACGCCTCCACCTTCTGCAGCGAGCGGTACCCAGCCCGGATCTGCTCTGCTGTCAACTTCCCTGAGGGTAGGGTGGGGAGAGGGTAGGTCAGAGCCACCAGACGACCACCCGTGCCCTCCAGCAACCCCTTTGCCTGACAGGCCTCTTGAAGAAAACAAATATTTGGGCATGCAACCATACACAAAACCTCCAGAAGCCTCCCCCGCCCACTCCAAGGCATCGGAAGACTCCCTGGGATCCCCCCGACGTGCTCTCACAGGCACTTGTGAAACACTTGTGCGCAAACAGTATTCACTCCTGTGCCCTCCAACACCCTCTCCCCTCCCCTATTTTCTTATTTGGTACCGCACAGAACCCCCCAGCAGGGCCCATCCATGCTCTGGGAGGGGCTATAAAGGTTACAACTCAGGGGGAGCCTAGAAACCAGCCAACTCCCCATAGGGAGGAGAGAGGAAGAGGTGGGTATATGTTGCAGGGTGAAGCGCGGAGATTTGGTTGAGAGGTGGGAGGGGTTCTCACCCAATGGGGCCTTCCTAGTGTCATACTTCATCTCAATCACCATCTCCTCCATGGTCTGGATGTTACAGATGAGCTCCACCAGTGCCTGCACGCGGGGGTCAAGTCGGGAGGCTGGTTTGGGTTGGGACATTACCTTCTCAGGGCGGCTTTCCTTATCCTGGGGAGCACAGGGAAGCAGAGGTCATGGAAGGGCACAGGTCTCCTACCTACAGGCCTAAATAAAACCCTACCCTAGTTGGTGCCAGATCTGGAAAGAGGCTGGTAGACTCCCTCACCAGCAGGGTCAAAGTGCCCCCCACAGCCCCAGGGTCATGGGATAGGGGTGCTGGTGGGAGAGACCTGGGGAAAATGCCACGACAGATGGGGCTGGGCAGTCCTCATGCAGCACGCTATGCATGGTGGGGGGGGACCTGAGGTGGTACTTGCTGGGCAGTGGGGCTGGGAGTCCATGTGCAGAAGACTGTATGGGAAGGGGTGGTGGGTCACTGGGGTTCTGAGAGACTCACTGGACCGTGGGCCTGGTAGTCCATATGCAGCAGGTCGTATTTGCCTGGCACCTTCTGGAAGCTGCCCCGACTGGGCCAGCTGTTCTTCGTCTTATCCAGAAACCTGGAGACAGACAGGAAGGTCTGATGGCAGTTCTGGCAAGTCTAGGTAGGAGGAAAAGGATGCACCCAGGGCAGTGTAAGCAGACACTCACTTCTTGGTGAAGACTTCCTTGGCTTTGTCAAGATCCCCAGCGCAGGATACCAGTGTGTGCTGGCCTGGACGCCCCACTGCAGAGACAGAAGAGACCTGGTCATGGGGAGTGGGACTGTGCTCCCAAATAACATTCCCGTCCTCCCAGTGCCCACACTCCACCCTTGAGAGACCAAAGCCAGCCAGCTCCACACGCTTCCACCCCCCACCCTAGCCCAGGCGCCCCAGCTCACCGCGCCCCCACCGCATCCAGACACTGTAGCTCCGCTGCCCATCATCCTCCAGGAGCTGGATGATGTAGAACTTGTTGTTGTTGAACTGGAGATTCGTCTGTGTCCGTGGGGAGGAGAGAGACAGTTACCAGCACCCCATGCTGAGGGGCCATAGCAGAAACAGTCACTGAAGAGCAGAAATGCACTGCTGAACTCACCTGGTTCAGCATCACATCATAGACGTCGTCCCCCTCACAGTACACATGAGCCTGAGAGACAAGAGAGAGTCTATTCTGCAAACAGACATAGCACAAAGGGGGGATGGGGGCGGGAAATGGTTTGGGTGGGCAGGGTAGGGGCCTTTATCCTCTAGGGAGAACCAGGTTCTTCTCAGTCCCAGGGTAGGGAAATGGCTGGGAATACAAGATAAGACATGGGTCTTCCCAGAGCCAGATTAACACATAGGCAAACTTGGCACATGCCTAGGGGCCCCAGTCTTTCTCTCTGCGGCGGCGGCATGAATGGCCCCATCCGCCTCCCTTCCTTTCCCCTCCTCTCTGCTGGCCTTGCCACCATGGCTGCAGCGGCATCCAGCCCTACTCCTCATGGGTGGCAGCACTGGGGTAGGGTGATGGGGGGGGGGGGTCTCGACCAGCCCAGGGCCTAAGAGTTTGTTTGCCTAAGGCCCACTAAAGGGTTAATTCAGCCCTGAGTCTTCTTCTGGGGGTGTCATCTCCCATCAGGTCCCAAGGGTCTTTCTCTTCTATGGGGTGGTGACCCTGATCCAAACCCTGGGTGGGGGGACTGGCTGGCTCAGGGGTGGATCATGTTACCTTCCCAAGCTTAGCAGAGCACTCGGGATCCACTGGTGCTTTCCCCTTCACTACTAGGGTCTTAACGGCCTCTAAGGGAGACAGAAATAGAATAAGGGCTGCAAGGCTCAGGATTCCTGGTATGTCTCCACAGATTAGAGTCAGAAACACCACAGCAAACCCCATAGGCCCATCGCTAAGTGCAGACAGCAGCATTTTAAATAACGATACAGAACAGGCAGAAGTGTTTCATAAATACTTGTTTGGTACCTAGAAAGAAACAGGTGACCTATGCATGCAACACAAAAAGGATGAAGTACTTTCAACCCATTAGTTACTAAGAAAGATGTTGGACGGCATTTAGTAAAGGTACACACAGTTAAATCAGCAAGCCTCTATAACTTGCACCCAAGAGGTCTAAAACAACTGGCCAAGGGGTGCTCTCCTGATGTTCGTTTTTAATGCACCTTGGAATCCTTAAGACAGTGATAAGGCTGTGCCTGGATAACTATGTGCGGCTTAGTTTAATATCAAAGCAAATAAAGAGAAAGCTCATATAGGACTCAAATGATAAAGAGGTAAAGTGCAGGAACAGAGTTTGTTGCCAGTCAGCATGGTTTCATGGAAAATAAGGCCTGTCCAACTGTCTCGATTTCATTCTTTGACAAGATTTCTACTTTTATTGATTACAATGTCTCCTATGAATATACTAGACCTTGGGAAGTAATTTGATTAGGTAGCATGCAGGGCTGCAATTTAAAAAAAAAAATCAGTGGTATAGCGTATCCATAAAATCCATTGACAGACCACAGAAACTAGCAGTCGGTGGAGAATTGTGATGGCCAAAACTAGAAGAGTTAAAAACAAAAAGAAATCTGCTTTTTGAAGGTATCTGAAACGGTAGCTTATGGAGTAGTTTCCTGTCTGTCTGGAGAAATTATATATATAGCTTTTTATACTAATCTTCAGACAGCATGAACTTTAAGAAGCAGAACTGAAAATTATAACTGCAGGTGTAGCTGATTTGTAAAATTTTGCTTAGAGTCAGTAAAAAATTAACAAATGTAATCACAAGGCATAATTAACATAGTGGGTTGAACTTAGGTGGGGACATGTTAACCTCAGACCCCAAAGTGATGTGGTATGATCTGCTTATTGGGTAAACCCAAGCTTAGGCAGTAATTTATTGTAATGATTTTTAACACCTTTTAACCCCATAGGATAACAGCTACGAAGTAACACTATGAATGGCTATATAACCAAAAAATTAGCATATATAGGATATAAAAAAACCCCCACGCACATTAAGTAACCCTCAGGGAAAGATGGAACAGAAGGGTCATTCCTGTCCCATACCCCCATGGATCTGAGAGCGAAAACCAGATCCTGACTGAAGGACCTTCCTCCAGTTCCCCCTCCGACAGCCCCATTCAGACACGTCTAACTTCGTTAAATCAACCTGATGTGTATCTTCTAGCTGAGAAACTATCGATAAGTTGCTGATCAAGTGAGAACTCTTGGTTAATTTCTTTATCTGTTTTATCATCACTGTTAATTTTAATCTGTATTGTTATATTGTCTGTTTATTAGCTTAACCTTTTTACTAACTGTCATATGTGCAAACTATATTTTTTGTTGTTATAAGTAAAATTTATTCTTTTTTAAGTGAAACTTGTCATTGCTTTTCTTCCCAACATCACCTCCTCAATCCCGAACCAAAAAGCCCAGTAGCTAATAAAGTTGCACTGCTCAGTCAGTCTGCAACTAAATTGATATACTCACAGTGCCCAGCTGGCCTGTGACAGAGAGTCATCAAACAGGCGTGTTTCTTAATGGGGTTCCATGCAGACCAGGGCTAGAAACAACTGTATTTGGTATTTCCACGGGTGATCCAAAAGGAAATGCAGAATCACTGGTCAAGAGAGTTTTCAGCTGGCCCAAGGAATGGTTTATGAGGATTAGACCACTGGACAGAGTGGCTGGGATCACCTGATGAGCTAGGGCCAAACTACCAAAATACATTTTTTATGCAGTCAAGGTTCTCTGGGTAAATGCAGTATCTTTTATTAGACCAACTAAATAGTTGGAAAAAAATTTTTTGCAAGCTTATGGGGCACACTCTTCTTCAGTCATAGTAAGAGCCTGCTGGTGGTGTGCATTCTCCTGGATGGAATAGAAGCCAATATGCAAAAGGCAGGTCTGTGAAAATGCAAATATGTGGCAGCGAGGATCAGAGGGTAAGGGAGACAATAGGTGTGAGCTCTGCCCATGGTCTGGAAGAAGTGTTGATTACCGAAAGTGAAGTTGCTATGTATGAGGATGAAGTGTGTGTGCAAGTTCGATAATACCTTTAGCTCTGTACTCCGAGTTGTAGTCTTGCTCTTGTAGATAGGTAAGGCAGGCTTGGATGCCATCCTGGTGAGGCATGTTGGTATATAAGCTGGTAACGCCCATGGTGGCTAGGTGGGTATTGCTGGGAAGGTGGTCCGTGTTTTTATGCAATAGTCTAAGAGTGATGTTATGTGACATCATGCGAGTGGCAAGGATTTTTAGGGTGAACTGTTTTACTGGACCAACTATGTAGTTCGGATAAAGGTAGACAAGCTTTCGGATGCTTTGCTGTATTAAAAAAGGCAAAGATCTGACATAGTCAGGCTTTTAGCAGCCAAGCACACGGATACTGGAGGGGGAAAGCAATGGCTCTGAGAAAGGTGTGGGCTAAGAGCACGCAAAAACCCAGTACGAGTTCCCAGCACAGTGTGATTGTCTACAGCCAAGACCATGCTGATCTTTGAAAGCAGACAGAGCAACCCGGATGAGGGAGAGGATTCCATCTCTGTCCACACTACTGGCTTCTTGCACACATTTAAAATGAGGTACGAAAATTGGAAGCAATACAGATAAGAATCATGCAAAACTGATTCAAAAAGACTGCAGGAAATGCCTGACCGCAAGAGACAACCAGCAGTAGGTCTGTTTGGTTTACCAAAAAAAAAAAAAAAAAATGTGAGTACTGTGAGGGTTTCTGTACTCAAGACTCTCCTTTACCTAACAGAGAATGCCATAACAAGTCAAAGCCAAGTCTGGCAGGGAACTGGGGAGGATTTTCTGCCTTTTGGGAAGTCAGACCAGATGGTCCTGATGGACTGAAGCTCTCACCTTTGACCTCTCCCCCATCAACTTCTTTAGCCACTGGGTCTGGGATGGACCCCCCACCGCGGGACCTCTTCAGTGCTTGAGCCTCTTGGAGGGCTGTGGAGCTGGGAGTGTAGCTCGCTTGAGATTCCTTACTATCAACCACTGCATCTATGGAGAGAGGGCACAGAGCATGCATTAGAGAGTGGAGGGGATGGTGCCCCTCCTAGAAGTGGCTGCATCTCAGTGCCAGACACCCTGAGCTGTCCCAGCCCAGTGAAGACACCTAGTGCTTGCATGGCACTGCTGGGCAGTGGTCATCCTGACACTTTGGAGACTTGCACCCTCCTGTCTCAGAGGACTCCAGCTACCTGGGCAGCACTGAATCTGCAGTGAATTTCCTCTCAGCACTACAGATGATCTTGCCCAGGACTCCTGAAACCAGCTAGACCAGACCTGCCCAACTGGGCTGGGCCCTGGAAGAATCATTGTAGTCTGGAACTTCTCCAGCTCTCAGCCTGTCTCTCTAACCACTAGACCCCATGCCCCCTCCAGAGCTTGGGGCGTTTGCCTTCCACTGTAGAAAGGGGAAGGGGGCATGGCTTTTCCTGGGATCTCTCAAATGTGTTTTAGCAACCCTCGTAGCAGCAGGACATTGGCTGTCATTGCCCACCTGCTTTACCTATGGCAGGTGGGGTGTTCATGTCCTGTGCCTGCGTCAGGGTTGACTGTAGTTTTGCAGCAGCACCAAAACTTTTCAGCCTGTGGGCCGGCTAGTGGTGCCGGGCTCGTCCACAAGCCTGATCCAGTCTGCCAACTCAATCCAGTGTGTGATGCTGCCCCATCCAGGGCCCAATCCAGCAGTGCAGAAATGGCCCAGCCAGGGCTGATGCCACTGCACGGGGCTGAGGCCCAACACAGCTGTGCAGAAGCAGATGAACGCATGAAGGAATGGCCCACCCATGCAGCTGGATAGACCTCAGCTCAATCCCTCCATGTGAGGCCAGCCCTGGCAAGGCCAATCCAGCCACATGAAGCTTGGAAATTTGGCTCTGGGACAGCAGTGGCAGTGGTAAATCGCCACTTCTCCCCCACTGCCAAATTCCTGGACCCATGAGGAGACCCGCAGGCCAGATGACATGGCTCTGCAGACCCGTGGGTTAGACAGTGGATTTGTTTAGGATGGTTTGGATAGGGATGATCCCACTGTTCTGGGGGACAGTACTAGGTGACCAGCCCTGCTTCTCTAGGTTTAATCACTGAATAATTGGGGTCCGGCCTCCCCTCATACCTGACTCCCTGCGGTCCATCTTGCGTTGATACCTGGTTCTCAAGTTGGTCTGGGTCATCTGGGCTGTGTCCAGCGCGTAGCGGGTCCGGCCAACAGTCATCTGCAAGGTTGGCTCCCCCTCCCCACGTCGCACCCGCTCCAGAGCTAAGCAGGTATCAGCAGGGTAGGGGAGCCAGTCCCCCTCCTCATCGCCCTGCCACTGCCAGATGAAGTCTGAGACACACAGGAGACATGCGCCATCACTCAGTGATCCCTGCATGGCCAGGGGGCTCCCTGCTCCCAAGGGAGACAGGGGTGGGAATAGGACCCAGGCGTGCAGCAGGTTTTCACCCGCGGCGGCTCTGCAGCCTGTAGTCCCAGGGGGAGGAAGACCCAGACAAGAAGCAGGACTCAGGTGCGCAAGATGCCAACAGAGGGTGCTTCCCCACACCAACCTTTTTTAATTTTACTAAAATTTCTCATGTATCCGGTCAAACTAGCCAGATCAGCTCTACATCCTTCAAAAACCATACTACCGGCAAGTATCCTCCACCCCAAATTTTTCAGCCTGGGGCTTCAGATATTTCCAGATCTTCTGGGGGGCATCCTACGTTCAGGTACAAGCCTGGAGGCTTGGGGCTCGAATGCCCCCGAGTTTGCTTGCCCCGAGCTGTACGGCTGCAAGAGCAAGCTAGGGAGGAGTCCCCCATTTCCATAAAGTCGGCGTGTAGCTGAGATCCTCCCGCTGGATCTGGCCAGTGCGACGCTAACTACGAGGCTCTCGTAGGGAGTCCTGCCCGCAAGCAGACAAGGGTGCCCCCTCCATTACACCCTGCCATTTTCATCGTATTGCCTCCATCAGGGTATTTCCCCTGCCAGGCAAGTGCACCAGTGCCCTGGGAATGGGAGGCCGGGACCCCAATATCCAGCATGGTCAGGAGCCCCCAAATCGCTCACACGAGTCCTGGTCCCGGACAGCAGCTGCCACGGGTCTGTCCTGCCCCGTCTGTGTGTCCTGTTGCACCATCCTTCTCAGGTCCACGCAGGCCCCAACATCCACGCTGGGCTTCCTGGCCCTGCAAGAGGCACAAGCCCAGGTCAGAGCCACCTGCCCGGGGGGCACCGCCCGCCCCCTCCCCGGCACTGACCTGGCCGCCTGCGTGAGCACCCTGCTCTGCTCCGGGGAGTACCAATGCCAAGTGCCCGCAGCATCCTGCCACTCCCAGCGCAGCTCCAGCTCCCGGTCACCCGCCTCCGGTGCCGCCCGCTTGCGGCCCATCCCTGGACAGGCACAAGACGGAAGGGACATTTGCTCTCCCAGGACAAACTCTCCTGGGAGTGGCACAACCCCTGTTGTCCCAGTGGCTCTCCTGGGAGAAACTGAATGCGTGCAGGGGCGCTGCACCCCC